ATAAAATTGGGTGTAATATAAAATCAAAATAAACTATTTTTTGTTAATTAGGGTTAGGGTGAGGTAGGGTTAGTGTTAGGGTTAGTGTTTGGGTTAGGGTAAGAGTTTTTTTATAGTAAAATTTTGTAAGAAATTTTTTTTGTTAAAAAAAATGTTTTTTAAAGATATTTCGGCATCCACCAAGCCGATTTTGATGTTTTAACCACCATTAGATGTGTCTTGACAAGCTCTACAAAAGTCTTTTAAGTTAGAAAAGTGATTAACTTAGTATAAAAAAATGTTTTAGATATGCGCATGCCACATTTGGAGACCTCCAATTTTTATAAGTAATTTGAGTCACATTTTACTATAATCATTCTCTAGTTGACTGGTGAATTACCAATTAAATATAGTTGAAAATAAGCCAATTAAACTTAAGTATGATCTTTGTCAGATATGTCTTAATGAACTTCTTGAGGGAATTGATAATTCTTTAGTTGAAGAAGTTTAAAAAGTTCGATTAATTGAGTATAAATTACATGCTAGACAAAATGTAGTATTGCTAAAGAATAGCTTTCATTTATATATATATATTTTATTATTTAATAGTGGAGTTGTCTGTCATCATTGGTTTTGTGTTCTCTTGCAATTTGAAAAGGTATACTTTCATATTTCTCTTATTTCAAAACATTGATACAAAGATGAATTTATAGATATACAGTATTAGTTATTGATGAACCATTCATTAGAGAAAAGTTAGAAAACAACGGTTCAGAATTACATACTCTCTCTTTTCTAGATGTTTTTGAATCATAGAATACTATAGTTATTGAACCTCCTATGCATGCTGCAGCAAAAGCAATTGGTCATAAGTAGTTAATTAAAGAAATATTGCTTGAACTTGTCTATAAATATATAGAACTGGTTAATTATGATGATATAAATAATTCAAATTTTTTAATAGAAATTTTTAAAGAATGGATATATACATACAAAGAACTACAATATAACAATCAAGCTGTTAAACAAATACTAGAACAGGAATTAGAATTAGAACATAATCAAGTTATAGAATATAAAGAAAATGAACAAAATTTCAAACATAAGAGAAATACTGAAACTATACAACTAATTGTTTAGAATCTGGTTCAGTATATTGAGAAAGGATGTCCTTTCAATAGGCAAATCAAATTAGCAATTGAAAAAATAAAAAAATAAAAAAAAAGCAAATATTTAGTTATTAGTAGTACAAACTATAGTTTTTGTCAGTCTTGTCAATGTAGTATTTGTAAAAATAAGAAATATGATAAATGAAAATACCCTAACAAATAGTATCATAGTATTCTTTCTTTGTATAATATTATATAGCTACTTTTAATTCAATAACTAGCTAGTATTTTATCAAAATTAGCCTGAATAATTTCAATTATCAATAATAATTTTTTTTTGTTTATTTATTTACATTCTGATATTTAATGCTTTATTTGTTTTTTTTTAAATAATAGCTAATAGTGTCATTATTGAAGTAATATTGAAGCTATCAAAAAAGCTATTTTTAAAGTTGCTATAGCTCTTGTATCTATAGTTTAATATTTACAGTGAATATGATTTTGCTATGTTGTAATTTTAATACTATTGAATATTTTAAGTTTCATTATTATTTTTAGTATTATATAGTAAGTTGTTAGAATTTTGTTTTTTTGGTTTTGTTTGTTGTATTATTGCTAGTACAAAACGATACTATTATATTTAAATTATTTTATTTATATTAATTTAGTAGCTACTAAGAATATGAGTTTTAAGTAGTTGTAATCCTTTCAGCTAAGTTATATATTAAGGTTTATACAATATATTACTCATTTTCTAGCAATGTGTATTGCTAGAATTTGATTAGTTAAAAAAGAAGTTTGCAGGCCGAAGGTCTGTGAATATATAGGGAGATTTACTTTCACTAAGGCTAATATAATATATAACTCATCTTCTAGCAAAGTGTTTTTGCTAGAATTTGATTAGTTAAAATAGGAATTTGCAAGCTAAAAGTCCGTGAATATATAAAGAGATTTATATTTTTAATATATAAAATACTATAGTTAAATAAATTTTAATTTTAAAAGTCATGATATTTAATAGTAATATAGGGTAAGTCAATAGAAAAGTGACAAATTTTTTCCAAGTAAAAGTTTTCTTGACTTTAGATTTAAATATTTTGGCAATTATTTTATCAAATTTATAAAAATTTTTTTATTTTAATTCTATATAATTTCAAGATTAAAATAAAAAATTTTTTAGCAAATTTGATTAATTAGTTGTTAAAATATTTTAATTTAAAAATTAAAAAAAATTCACTAAAAATAATTTGTCTCTTTTCTATTGACTCCCCCTCATATATTAATAATTTTATTCTGTGATGAATATTTTGACAAATAAATTGTTAGTGATATATAAGTTACTATCACATATATGACAAATAACTATAATTTTATTATGTAACAAATATTTTAACAAATAAATTGTTAGTGATATATAAGTTACTATCATATATGTAACAAATAACTTTGCTCTATTTTATATACTGATCATGCTGAAATCAATAATTTAACCAAAAAATCATTTGGGCAAATTCTGTTCAGAAATTATGAAAATAGCTATAAAAAGTTTTTTTTTTTATATAAAAAATTTTTATAAATTTTTTTGTTTTCATTCACAATTTAGAAAAATCAAAATTGTCAAAATACAAGAATAGAAATATAAATAAATTTAAAAAAGTTACCTGGCTAGGTAATGAAAACCAACTTTATTTGTTATTAAATAGACTTTACTAAAATGTATCTATAGTGTTTTACATATATATATATATTAGTTCAAAAACTGGCTAATTAATCAGTGCAAAATGTTCTAAGTAAAAATGCTCTACACTTCTAAAAAACCTTCTCTAACTCTAGCACTAAGTACTAACATAAAAATTTTGTGTTGAAAATTTTTATAATAAAGCATATGATAGATGCAAAACCACTATAGGTGCATTTTATAATAAATAATTAAAGATAATAAATTTGATCTTTATAATTGCCACGCTTTTTTACAATCACATATTTTTGTATTTCAAATATATAATTATAGAGAGAGGTTTAACTAAAGCTAGTTGTCAAAAAATATTCATTAAATAAAAAAATTTAAACATAGCTTTTTTTTTAAAGACATCTAAGCTTTGAACAAAGATTGCTCGGCACTTACTTAATCAAATTTAATCAAATTTTTTTTCATTTTAGTTATATAAGCTCATATAATTAATTGATGATCCACCACTCAACAGGTGCATGATCTTAGTAAAATGTGACTCAGATTACTATATAAATTTACTATAGTGCGAA